CGCAGCTTCTCCACGCGCCGCTCGGCTGCCCGGCCCCGCCCACCAGCGCGCGCTGCGGCAAAGGCCGCCGGCTGGAGCCCGCCCGGGCCCCCCCAGCTCAGCCCGGAGCAGAGCGCGTGGTCAGAGCTAGGGCGCCCGCACCCTGCTCTCCTCCGGAGAAATTAGCCCGGGCCTGCTCCCTCTTTGCACTGTCGCCGCTGGGCGCGGTAGGAGGCTCGTCTCGAGACTGTATAGGATTCTCGGTGGCTCCCTCCCTGGTTTCCTTTCACCCTGCAAGCTTGTCTAAAAGTCGTAGATTGCTGGGGGGCGGGGGAGGTTCTAAGATTCTTGGACCAGGAATAGGGCTGCGAAGTTTGGATCGATTATTCCTGGAGGTTTCATCACATGATAGAGTCTTTAGTTATAATCCATTAATCTTTAGTTCTTGGAGACTCCAGGGCAACCCTATAGGCTTGGTGAGAGTCCAGATTGCTTTGTAGCTATCTGAGTTTATGGCAAGTAACCTGAGAGGAGATGGAGTCATTCACCTGTGTGATAATTGGATCTTTACAGTGCTTTGGCATCATCCTCGGGGGTCATGGCTGTTATCACCATCACATACTGAGGTTTTATCAACAAGTTCTAACTCACACTAACCTTGAATCACAAGGATGGAGATGAAACAAAAAAAACAGGACTATGTAGCACTTTAAAGACTAACAAGATGGTTTAATAGGTGATGAGCTTTCGTGGGCCAGACCCACTTCCTCAGATCAAATAGTGGAAGAAAACTGTCACAACCATATATACCAAAGGATACAATTAAAAAATGAACACACATGAAAAGGGAAAAACAAATTTCAGAACAGAAGGGGGTGGGGGGAGGTAAATGTCTGTTGATTCATCATAGAAATATAGTGATGGGCACCAGTACAAAACTCTAAACTAGAATTAGCTGATGAAGGAAGCGCCTTTCCACCTTAAATTGTAAGTTCTTTGGGGCAAGGCACTATACACATAGGCTACATCTATACTGGCATGATTTTCCGGAAATGCTTTTAACGGAAAACTTTTCTGTTAAAAGGATTTTTGGAAAAGCGCGTCTAGATTGGCAGGACGCTTTTCCGCAAAAGCACTTTTTGCGGAAAAGCGTCTGGGGCCAATCTAGACGGACTTTTCTGCAAAAAAGCCCCGATCGCCATTTTCGCGATTGGGGCTTTTTTGCAGAAAATAAATCTCTGCTATCTACACTAGACTTTTGCCTGAACAGGAGCAGCATAGTATTTCCGCAAAAGCAGTGACAATCTTACATGAAATCGTCAGTGCTTTTGCGGAAATTCAAGCAGCCAGTGTAGACAGCTAGCAAGTTTATCCAGAAAAGCGGCTGCTTTTCCAGAAAAAGTGGCCAGTCTAGACACAGCCATTAGGGATGTAAAAACTTGGCTTAAAAAGATAATTGTGTAACCACTGAAAATCTTAGCAGTTACATGCACTGCAGGCTCTGCAGTGTAAAGCTTATTTAACACAGCAAAACCTGCAATGAGGCCTCCCCCAAGAGCAGGGCCACCTATGGGCGGGACTTGCCGGGAGGCAGGTCTCTGGTCAGGATAAGTCTGCTGATTGAAAAGAAAAGAAAAAAAACAAGTATTGAATTGTCTTTGTCAAGTTAGATAAACTCTTGAGAGTAGCATATCAGATTGAAATGTTAGCCATCTGATTAATATGTGGTAGGAAAGTGTTAATCAGCTCATAGGCTGAATGACCCAGATTTGGCCTCTGAAGATTTGTTAGGAAGATAGCTAAATGATAGTTGGGCTATATTACATTGTTAGAGTAGAACTTTGAAATGCAAACTTGCATTGTTAGAGCATAAGAATGGTAAGTGTTGACTCAAGTTTTGTGATGTGAAAAAAACCATTATTTTTTATTACTATAGTCTTGCTTCAAGGTCACAAGGGAATATTAACATTTGTGATGAAACTTGATGTCTGTCTCTTTCAATTGCATTATTCAGTAACCACACTAGGTGTGTGGGTTACATACTTCCCCTCGGTGAGGAAGCAAGGAAGCACATCCTGAGCTTCAGAGACCCAGGTGAGATCCCAGACAAGCCCCCACTTGCCATGAGGTGGATTTGAACCTGGGACCTTGGAAGCAGAGTATAGGAGCCTCTACCCTCTGAGCTAAAAGCCTGCTGTATATGTACTCTTTCATGGATAAATTACCCTATGCTAATTGCCTTGATGTTTGGAAAGCAGGTTACATCACAAGCCTACTGTTCTCCCCAGCTAAGAGGCTTCTGGAAATTAATTATAAAGGCCGCACATGATCCTTTTTCATCTCATATCTGCTTGGATGCTTAAAGGGACAGCTGGAGGCCATAAGGAATGAGATCCCAGGAAACCCGGGTACCCTTATAATGAACATTGACTAAATATCTCTGGACTGATGCTGAAAGATCCATCTGCCATGAGGGTATAGCAATGGGTGGGCCCAAGTGGGCTGAGGTCCACCCAAATCCACAGGCTGGGGACTCCTCACCCCAGCTGGGTGTCCATCAGCATGGCTGCATTGTTCTCCTGCCAGCTGCATGTGCTGCTACCCCAGTCTTTGGCCTCAACACTAGCCCCACGGGGTAAGGGATGTCTGTCTCATAGGGGCAGGTCTTTACAGTGCTAGCTCTGGGGCTGGAAACAGGCAGCAGCATTCAGAAGGATGGGGGTTTGCCTAGGGCTGGCAAACACCAAGCTGCAGATGGAAGGGATGTACAGAGCTCAAGTACCAGTGAGCCCCCAACCATGCCCCATGGGTGTGACCCACCCTTTTTGTGCTGCAAGTACCTGCTGAGCAGTAAGTGGGGGTGGAAGGGACAGGTCTTTCTGTCCCTTCTGCACCCCTTTCTGCCCCTCCCCACAAAGCATTTTCTCTCTCCTGCCCCCCCTTCCTACCTCCACAGAGCATCACATCCCTCTTGCACACCCCCATCCTTCCAGTTTCCCTTCCCCCCGACTCTCCATCATCATTGCCCACCTACTTTTCCTGTCCTAACTTTCCTGCAACTATAAAGCTCAACAACTCTATGAATCTGACTAAAGAACTTTACTCCTGGTGGAACATATTTGATTCTTATAAACCATTTCAGCTCTCACCTTTTCTTCTTATAAATAAACCTTTTGGCTACATCTACACTGGCAGCTTCTTGCGCAAGAATGCTTTTGCGGAAGAGTTCTTGTGCAAAAACTCTTCCACAAGAGAGCGTCTACACTGCCACATACTTTTGCGCAAGAGCATCCATGGCAGTGTAGACTCTCTTTTCCGCAAGAAAAGCTCTGATGGCCATTTTAACCATAGGGGCTTCTTGCACAAGACATTCATGTTGCCTGTCTACACTGGCCTCTTCTGAAAGAGCTCTTGCCAATGTAGACACAGCCTTATAGTAAATGAAACAATGATTTCACACCACCATAGCTCTTCTGGGTGATGTTGATTACTAATTTGGTTCCTGAACTACTGAGGTCTAAGTATCACTGCTGTAGACACTGTTGCTTACACTGAGTATTGCTGCCTTTCACTAACCATCCCACAATGCCCCACACTGACAATTGGTGCAAGCCACTCTTGGTGAGGACACAAGAAGCATAGTGTGGATGTGTAAAACAGATTTAATTACTGCCATGGCTGTACATCTATGTAACTTAGGTAGACTTAATTTAGTAGTGGAGACTTGCCCTAAGTGAAGTTATTTGATTAAAAGAACTAACTCCAAGTGAGAAGAGTAAGCAGGGCTAGCAAATAGAAGGTTGGAATAGTATTTAGGAGATCTGGGTTTTATTGATATGCTGCCTCTGACCTGTGTAGTAACAAACAAGTTATTTCACTTCAGTGTCATGTGTTTCTCCAACTGTAAAGTAGTAATAATGATAACCTTCTTTGTAAAGTACTTGCAGAAATGTGCTAAATGAGAGCACATCATTTTTATACTAGCTGTGAATCAAATGTGGATCTTAATGTTAACTATGGAAGAGCTGCCATTTCATTATAATTCTTCCCTGTGCTTAATCAAGGGTATTTTACTATTAACTATTGTTTGCAAGTTCACTAAGATTTGCTAGCACTTGAATAAATTAACCCTCCAAATGTCTTGAGACCTCCATTCATGCTCACATTCAAGTCTTTTCCCCAGCCATATTTCCTCCAACTCCCCCAAGTCTTTGGGACAGTTGGATTCTATGTGCAAAAGAAGAGCTCCTTGATTCCATAAAGCCAATGTTCCATCTCTGGCTGTGGCCCATGCTGGTTGCTTCTGGGGCACCCCCCTGCTCATATCTCTCCCAGTTATATTCAAGAAAGGAGGAAATGGACAAATGCAGACTGGAGACAGGGTTACAAATTGGCTTTTATTTCAGAGTATTTAGTGTATTTACAAGAGTTTAAAGAAAATCTTCCTGGCCCTCTGGCCCTGACAGAGAACCCACATTCACAAGGTGTGAGGATAATTTGAGCTCTTAGCTATACACACACACCTCACAAGGGCTAACACTTGGAAGACTGTAACAGGTATAAAGAGCTGTGTGGGCAATATCACTCAGTAACTCCAATTTTGGGGCAATTCGTAAGTTGGAGACTGAGAAGTAGTGTGAAATTGTTCAGAAGTTCCTAACAAAATATATACAAGCATCTTTGCAATAAAATCAGATTCAGCAAATCATCCAAAGGCAGACATGATGACACGAGGCCACAGTTATACATGCCTGCCTTGCCTGAGTGTAAGCAGAGATGTGCAGATGCACTCACGCCACCATATGTGCATGCAGTTTTCTGTTCCCAACCAGTCATTCATGTATGCACACAGGCAAGTACATTCAAAACCACATTCGCGCCCATCCATGCAAACTTGCAGGTGTGCACACCTGCTCTTGTCCACACACACACACACACACACACACACACACACACACACACACACACACACACAGTGACACAAATACATGTACATTGTTAATGCTCTTTTACATATGTTTTTAGGTACAGAAAAGAACTACAGAAATAGCACCAACCATCTCACCTGGCCCATCAGCACCTGAGAAACCCTCTTATTCCCTTCAACCACTAGAGGAACAGGAAGTTCTTCCCCTCTTTCTTGTGGGAGCACCATCCAACACCTAAATGCCTATGCCCAGGCCTCAGTCAGTGATACCTTTCCAGAGCTAGGAGACTGGATTCCGTGTTATGGGTCGACTGCCATGTTTTGGTCACAGAATCAGTCTGTTCCATTCATTAGCAGGCACTCCCCCCGTGGCATTTGCTGTAGGACTCTCTCTTGGTCTGGAGGCATAATTGACTTTGTGGTTCATTGAAAAGTGATCCATAATCATCTACGAGCATCACTGGCTGCCAGTCAACAAATATAACAGAGGGGTGGGGAATAGAGGTGGAAAGAAACACAAAAGAGTGGATTAGAATCCTCCCTGAAGAGGAGGCACAGAGCTAGAGAAGGGGGCACTAAAGCAAAGGGGGTTAGAGCTGGCTGTGAAGGAGGTAAAAATGGAAGTTAGGGCTGCCTAGACAATGCCTCCTGAACAGCCTCACTGCAACCACTCAGTTCCATCTGGTTGAGGACATAGCTGATGCGTTCAACTGTAGCACCATGGCCCATCTGCAGCCTCCACTGTCGCAGCATCTCATACTGGGCATCCCGCACCCGCCGCTGCTCCAGCTCAATTCGCTCAATCTCGTAGTCACTCAGCCCCAAACGTCGCACAAATTCCTTCCACCGAGACGGCAACACGTGGTCGGCCACAGTATAGAGAACAGCAGGATCTGTGCAAGACAAACAAGGGGATGTCAGCAGCAGAGTCTGGGAAAGGGGATGCAAACAGTACCAGTGGAACATCAGAAACGTGAAGCACATCCCCCAGATCAGGTTTTGCACCGCTCTGAGCAATCACACAGACATGTGTCATATCTGGCTCTGAGCCTATCTAGAAATGAATATGGGGAACCCTGGATGCTTGTTCACAGGCATGGTCTTGTGTACGCGTGAACCCATACGGCAGGTCATTCTTGTAAATATGCTTTTACTGTATCATTGCCATGCATTCACACAGCAAAGTATAGCATCAAAATAAGCCTGTCAATATGTGATCATATGCAACAGGCTGCTCTTGGCTAGCCTCATGTAAACATCTATGCATGTGAACTCATATGATCAAGTCTGTTTGGGTACAGAGCTGCAACTGACACAGAGTTTTCCTCATGCACATATGCACGCTGGTGCACATGCACATGCACATGCACTTCCCACTACCACCTTCCTTTGCACAGATAAATCCTGTTTCAGGGGGAGCAGCACTTACTGTCTGGGAGTTGAGTCTTTCCAGCAGGTCTGACACAATCGGGTAGCTCGTGTGCAACCATTGAACTTGGTGCAGCATTGACAGCCCACATTGCTTCAAGCTGGGGTGGTTGTGGAGAAAGGATGGCAGCTATCTGCTCGTTTATCTCAACCTGGGAGAAACATATATTTACTCTGGAATCACCATCAGGGCAGCCCAACAGTCCCTGTATCTCAGGGGAACAGCTGACTGCACATCAAACAGGTTAAAGAGAAGTGTGGATCGGGGACCCAGGAGTTAATACTTATGTTCTTATGATTCCACCCCCCCACACACACACTATCTGAGCGGATGGGGTGGAATATGTCATACCTGCAGAGCATGAGTGGTTAATCTTTATTTTGAAATGAAAAAACAAGGATACAGGAGGAAATATCTACAGAACAAAGTTCTAGGAGCCCAGCACAGGGCCCTTAGAGATCTCAAATGAGTTCCAGAGGGGGAAGGGACAGTACCTCTTTGTACAGTCTTGAGGAGACACCAGCTGGGATACTGCGCTCAGTTCTGAGCTCCTTAATCCCAGGAAAGCAGTGACAATCGGAGAACTCAAAGAAATGCCTTAGAAATGCTCAGGGGGCAGAAGAGATCAAGTTCTGAAGAGAAAGTCAATGAGCTAAATTTGCCAGGCTTGGCCAAGCTAGGCGTAAAGGATGGATGTGTGTAAATGAGGATAGGGTGGAACATGAGACCCATGTACAAGTGTCTAAGAAGCATGAATCCTGAGCGAGAGAGAAGAGAACAAGGCAAGATGAAGGCTGGGGACAGGAACTCAGGAACTATCCCCCCAGTAGGCAGGGTCTGTCAAAGTGAGAAGTTGTCTCCTTGGCTACGTCTAGTTTGGCATGATTTTCCGCAAATGCTTTTAACAGAAAAGTTTTTCCGTTAAAAGCATTTGCAGAAAAGAGCATCTAGATTGGCATGGACGCTTTTCCGCAAAAGCACTTTTTGTGGAAAAGCATCCGTGCCAATCTAGACGCGGTTTTGCGCAAGAAAGCCCCAATCGCCATTTTCGCCATCGGGGCTTTTTTGAGCAGAACAGTTTTTAGCTGTCTACAGTGGCCCTTTTGCGCAAAAGCATTTCCGGAAAAGAGCTTTTGCCCAAACAGGCGCGTGAAAGTATTTGAGCAAGAAGCACTGATTTTGTACATTACAAAGTCAGTGCTCTTGTGCAAAATCAAGCGGCCAGTGTAGACAGCTGGCAAGTTTTTCCGCAAAAGGAGTTGCTTTTGCAGAAAAACTTGCCAATCTACACACAGCCCTTATGTATAGGGCCCAGTGTCCCAGTGCTCAAGACATTCAGAAGTACAAACTCTGAGAACATGCTGAGGGGAAGAATATTGCTCAGGGCTACAGGCAGGCAGAATGAATGGGACTGAGAGGAATGATAATCTGAAGGCAAAGGGGAGGTTTCTGCACTGAGTACCTTGCTTGTTCCAGATACCGGCTCCTTTGTTGGCTGCTGCGTCGAAACTGAAAAAAGGAGAAATTTTGTTTACTTCTTCTGCTCAAAGATAAACAGGAAAAGCTGCTCAAGCTCCTGGGTGCCTCCACTGTTCTGACTTCACTTGAAGGATTGTGGTGAAATGCACAAGTCCCAGCAACGAGCCTATGTGAGGGAGTCTCATCACAGCATGAGTGTGGATGTAAGACTGTAAGAACAGCCAAGATCAACAAGGAGCTCATCTACCCTGGCATGCAGCTCCATCCTTGCACTAGACCAGTGTTTCTCAACCTTTTTTTTTTTTTTAATAAAGTACCCCTTTTTCACACACACACAAAAAATTATAAGTATCACCAGCACCTATAGTGCTCAGACACACACATTTTTCTCCCATTGCAACATATTTGTTTAATTTTTCTCCATTGCAACATATTTGTTTAAACAACTTAATCATAGCCGGGCGGGCGATGACATTTTTGGGTGTAAAGTACAAAAATAAAGCGCTGTCACACTTAAAAATTCAGTTTTCTCCAAATTTCCGTTGTGTTGACGTTCCCCCCAGACTTCTCTCAAGTCCCCCTAAGGGTACTCGTACCACTGATTGAGACACATTGCACTAGACCAGAGCAGTGGGATGCTGAGCCCTGTGTCTCCTCTCCCCCCGCCTGCCAGCATCACCACAGAGAACACTGTACTCACCACAGGAGTAGAAAATAAGAGAGGACCCTTTTTGACAGTATTTCTTGATCAATTTAACTGCAATGACCGCTCCAAGGCTAGTTGCAAACACCACGACGAGGCCGATGAGTAAGAGGGTATGACCTAGATAAGGGAGAGAGGACAAGTGAGTACAGAAGGAAGGAGAGAAGGTGGGGGTAAGGACAGTATCAAGACAGGGAAGGGGACATGTGAAGAGGGGGATAGGAGTGAAGGCAGGAAGTCTGGTGATGGGGTTGGTAATGAAAGCAGACGTAAATGTTGCAGAAATGCCAATACCCTGAGTTCTCCAGTTCTCATCTGTCACTGTGGGGGAAATTGGTGGTCTCTGTATTGCACCACAGTCCTTACATTCTTCTTCACTGCAGCTGAAAGAGAGAAGCAGAAAGCTGAGCAGTGTGGAGAGCAAAGGCACAATATATCAAGTATTCCCAGGGACTGCCCCATTTCAAAACCCCTTGCAAATCTCCATGATGATAGTACCAGGGGAAAGCCTGGGCCTGGAAGATGTTATTCCATATACCCCAGAAGGTAGCTAATGGAGTGACACTGAGGGGAGTTTGCACTCAGCTTTCACTGTTGCCCAAGTAAGGGGAGCACAGGAGCAAGAACCAACCTGCTGCAAGGTTTGCAGTTATTATGTTTGTTCAGGAAGAATCCATGGTGACATACACAGAACGTGTCACTGTTCTGTGTACCTGTAGAGAAAAGAGGGAAAACATCAGCCCTCGGGGAGACGAAGGAGAAAGAAAATCTCTCAGGTGGGGAGAAGATCATCTTTCTTTGGGATTGGAGAAATTGCTTTCAGGAAGGTGAATCACTCTATGGCATCTGTGGTTGGGTGGAGATGAAAGCAGGTGTAACACTACCATAGATGGTGGTTGGGGAAAACTGTTCCAGAGCAGGGAATTACTCTCTGGCACAGGACAGAGGGAAACTGCTCCAGCGTAGAAGAGACTGGGCTGAAGGATAAAAACTGAGAGGCTGCGTCTAGACTGGCATGATTTCGCGCAAATACTTTTAACAGAAAAGTTTTTCCATTAAAAGTATTTGTGCAAGAGAGCGTCTATACTGGCATGTGCCTTTGTGCAAAAGATTTGCTTTTGCACAAAAGCATCCGTGCCAGTATAGACGCTCTCTTGCGCAAGAAAGCTCCGATGGCCATTGTAGCCATCAGGCTTTCTTGCGCAAGAAATTAACTTGGCTGTCTACACTGGCCCTCTTGCACAAGAATACTTGCGCAAGAGGGCTTATCCCTGAGCGGGAGCGTCGGAGTATTTGCGCAAGAACCACTGATTTTGTACAGTACAAAGTCAGTGTTCTTGTGCAAATACTCGCGGCCAGTGTAGACAGGCAGCAAGATTTTGCGCAAAAGCAGCTGCTTTTACGCAAAATCTTGCCAATCAAGACACACCCAGAGGGTGCATAAGAAAAAAAAAATCATTGAGCAAACGGATGTGAGGGAGGAAGAAAAAAAAAATGGCTCCAGAACAGCAAGCAGTATGGAAGGCAAAATTACTGGCAGGGGTGGGATAAATTACTGGCAAGTGTGGGATGTCACGTATGGGTGGGCAATATCTGTAAAGAAAATTGCTCTAGTGCAGTTGTGAGAAAAGCTGCTCAAGAGGAAGTCACATCATTTGAGATGTGGGAGGGAGGAAACCGGCAAGGGTGGAGAGAGGCAAGCCTCACTTAAGGAAAGGAGAGAAAATGGCTCCAAACCACACAAGAGGGTGGAGAATAGTTCTAAGTCAGAGGAGAGGGAAGGAAACTGCTCAAGTGCCGGGGAAGTCACTCTAGGGCAAGCCTATGAGTGTGTGTGAGAGAGAAATGGGAAGGAGCAGAGCAGAAAAGGGGTCTCACCTAAGGGACAGGAAAACTCATGCCAAAGGAAATGTGAGATGTGGAAGGGGAAAGTTGCCAAGGAGAGGAAGAGGAGCTTTAAAACAAATGGGTAGGAAGCTGTCAAAAAAGAAGGAAAACAGACTACAGAGCAAAAGGGATGGAGGAGGAAATCGGTCTCTCTCAGGAGGGAGATGGTGCAGGTCTAAAGCCTGGTCTACTTTAGAAAATTAGGCTGGTTTAACTACATCAGTCGGGGATGTGAAAAATCCACACCCCCTGAACAGCACAGTTGATCTAACCCAAGTCTCTGTGTAGATAGCACTAGACCAAGGGAAGAATTCTTCCATCCACCTAGCTACCATAAACCTTCAGTCTCTCCATAACAAGGAGAGGGGTATGGAAAAGTCACTCCCAGATCAGGGAGAGGCTGGAGGAAAGAAGCGCCCCAAGGCAAGGGAGAAGGTAATCAATCAAGGGCAGGAGAAGCAGAGAAGAAAGTGATTCTAGAATCTAGACCAATGTAGGAGGTCACACTTCCAGGGCAGGGGAGGTGTAAAGCTGCTCCAAAGGAAATACTGTTTGCGAGAGTAGAGCGTATCCTTCCAGATTTTGCTGACAGCGGTGGGAAGACATTGCTTCAGAGCAGCAAGGGGGAGGTATCTACAACAGAGCGGAAGGAAAAAGGTGTTCCAAGGCAGATAGGACTTGCTCCAGAACAGCCAGGGTGGGAGGAGGCAGAGATGAGAGGAATTAATGTAAAGCAGAACATTTCTCCTGGGTATAGGGAGAAGGGGAAATTTCACTCTGTGGGACAGAAGAGAGATCAAAACTGTGAAAGGAAAGCAAGAATTGCACTGAGGCAAGCAGGAGTAGGGAAGACTGTTACAGCACTGGAGAAGGTGAAAGGC